AGATTAAACCAACATTCTACAAACTGAGCAACACCCCAGACCAAATACTCTAGGTTTTAAGACTACATGGAGAGATCGGGAGACGGACAATAAGGAGACAGAGAGATGTTTACAGTGGGTAACTGCACAGCAGAGATAGTAACAGGTGACTCTCACTATGGAATCCCTGAGGAGCCTGACAAATAGCTCCTCTCCCCTCGCCTAAAGTATGAAACAGGAGGGAAAACACAAACTAAAAAAGACAAGGACCTTACTCCTAGTCCAGAGTTGAGAGATGACCTCTGTTTCTGTAAGGAAATTACTAAACTCAGATCTAGGCTCCCCCCACATTACACCTGCAGCCAGGATCAGAGAAGAATGCATTGGATTCTGGAGGTCTTATCTTTGAGAGAAAGAAAAATAGTTGCCCTGCGGGAAAAGGGGCAAAGTCTATAATGCCACTTTATTCTCCCCATATCAAGCAAAGAGATGAAATCCACTAGAAGAGAAAGGAGTGCAGTCAGGGAAAAGCCAGACACACTGTGTCACAGGAGCTGTGCTTTCTGTCTTGTTCTGTTTCCTATCATTGATAACACGATACTACAAATGAGGTAAATGATTTTTAATAATAGTCTAATTGTACATTAAGAACCAGTTGAAGAGAGGGAGGAGCAATAATATGAGAAAAGGGGTCAAGACTACGATAGGGAAACCCAGAGGAACAGCTGACAGTGGGAGCTCACTGTCTCTGGACTGAAAGTTGGGGAATCTGCATAGGACCAGACTTGGCCCTCTCAATGTGGGTGACAGTTGTGTGGCTTGGGAAGTTTGTGGGGCCAATAGTAGTGGGATCAGGATCTATCCCTAGTTCATGAACTGTCTTTTTGGTGTCCATTCCCTATGGAGGGATACCTTGCTCAGTCTAGATACAGGGGAGGGTCTTGGTTAACTGTGTTAACTCTCTGAGGAGTAGGTGGGACATAGGATGATGAGAAGGTAGGGGAGTAGCAGGAGAAGAGGGAAGGGAAACTAGGGTCAGTATGTAAAATAAAAAACGATTATTTTTAAAAAAGAAAAGGAGAGAAAGAAAAGAAATTTAGCTCAAAAGGAAAAAACAAACAAATTATATCTCTTTAATCTACAATCAGACTTGTTTAGAAGTGAAATATACAATGACTTCAACTAAATTTGAAGTACATATGAAAAATGAGACTGTGAGGTAAATACAAGAATGAGGACAGAGATGCATTATACCAATACAAATGTATAAATTTCATAGTGTAGTAGGTGGTGGGTATATAGCTGTTCTTTGCAAAATTCCTTCAACTTTAGATTAAGTTGGAAGATGTTCACTGGTATTCTGAAAAACAAATTAAAAAAAAAACATGAATGCATACATTACTTCATTCAGGGTCAGGTTTTAAATAACTTGCCAAAATGTGCTTGTATTGTTCAAAATATCTCACGCTGGAGTTGAAGAAATGGCTCAAAGGTTAAGGGTGCATTCTTTCTTGCAGAGGACCTAAATTCTGTTCCCAGGACCCATGTCAGGCAACACACAACCACCTGTAATTCCAGCCCCTGAAATACTCAAGATCTCTGACTTCAGGGGTACCTGCACATACACCCACACAACCCTCCCCCACACACACACACAAATAATAAAATATCTTACTTACATGGAAATCGATGAATAAAATTGTGGAATTAATCATGACACTGGATACAATTTTTCCTATGCTCATTATACATAAGTAACAAAAATGCTAAACAATTAATATAAAATTTAATTTCACCTTTACAGGTATCATTTAAAACATGTATTAGGCTCCTTATTTAGCAAGTTAGACAATAAAAAGGCCGAAGGTTGTATCATTTGCAGAAGGAATCAAGAGATGAAGTTACCGTTGTTAGCCACTGCATTCTGAAAGGGAGAGACATCTGAAGAGTTGTTAGAGTTTCTACTTCAATTTGCTCTCTCTTTATTAGAAATGACAAAAACAAACAAACAGTATCACTATAATCCCAGGATGCCTACTCTGACCAAGGTCTTTTCCATTTACACAGGATTTAAGTGTAGTTTTTTTTATTTAATTCTTTTATTATTTATTTATTAAAGATTTCTGCCTCCTCCCCGCCACCGCCTCCCATTTCCCTCCCCCTCCCCCGATCAAGTCCCCCTCCGTCATCAGCCCGAAGAGCAATCAGGGTTCCCTGCCCTGTGAGAAGTCCAAGGACCACCCACCTCCATCCAGGTCTAGTAAGGTGAACATCCAAACTGCCTAGGCTCCCACAAAGCCAGTACGTGCAGTAGGATCAAAACCCAGTGCCATTGTTCTTGAGTTCTCAGTAGTCCTCATTGTCCGCTATGTTCAGCGAGTCCGGTTTTATCCCATGCTTTTTCAGACCCAGGCCAGCTGGCCTTGGTGAGTTTCCGATAGAACATCCCCATTGTCTCAGTGTGTGGGTGCACCCCTCATGGCCCTGAGTTCCTTGCTCGTGCTCTCTCTCCTTCTGCTCCTGATTTGGACCTTGGGATTTCAGTCCGGTGCTCCAATGTGGGACTCTGTCTCTGTCTCCTTTCATCGCCTGATGAAGGTTAATATCCAGGAGGATGACTATATGTTTTTCTTTGGGTTCACCTTCTTATTTAGCTTCTCTAGGATCACAAATTATAGGCTCAATGTCCTTTATTTATGGCTAGAAACCAATTTAAGTGTAGGTTTTAAATATATTTTTATTAATCCTCTGGGATTTTCTTTGATTTGTTTTGCTTTTTGAGACAGGGTTTCTCTGTGTAGCTTTACCTTGCTCTATAGACCAGGCTGTCCTCAAACTAATAGAGACCCATCTGCCTCTGTTTCCCCAGTGCTGGGATTAAAGGTGTGCAACCACTGACCAGGCTAAAGGTGTAGCCCAGGCTGGCCTCGCACATTTGATCCTCCTACCTTCACCTCCATCAGCAAATCCTACTGGCACACACCACCACAACTGGGAATTATATAAATGCCTCCAATTATTTTGCTCATATTCACCTCTCATTCCTCCCCCTAACTCCACCCAGGTCCACCCCAAACCTGCTCAACTTCCTGTTCTCCTGAAGAGTACCACCCTTGGTGGGATCACCACATTCCAAAGATTGTCATCACATCCATGAGTGTATGACAACAGAAACACAACTGGACTCTGTATGTTATAAAATAAACTGGTAAATTATAAAGGAAACTAGTTGGACTCATAGTTCTGGTCTACGGTTAAAGAGCACCATCTAGTGGTAGCCTTCTTTTTTGGCAGAGACCGGAGATAACAGAACATCACAGGGTGAGTGAGGCAGGGAGTGGTAGAAACCTATCTAAACTGACTTTCATAACTGACTGGCATTCAAGATGGCTCAATAAGTCACTAACACATTGATGCATTTATTAGACCAGTGAGTTTATCCAGTTATGTGGACAGAGAGACCCAGTAACCTCCTACAAGTCCCAGTGGGTCCCATCTCTTCTTTGTGATGTAAATTTATGTCTTCCACAGGAGTTTGGGAGCACCTTCCATGGCAGCACATTAACAGTGGGGACATTCCAAAACTTCACCTCGGGACCTCAGTGTCCCCAGGCTCCTTCCACACAATTCTTCCCTTATAGTCTCAGGAGAACTATCAGTACTTCACGTGTGCTCATTCACATCAGATAGGAAGAGAGAGATCTCATGACAAGACTCCAGTAAAAAGACTGGAGAAATGACTTGGTGGTTCAGAGAACTTGTTGCTCTTCCAGAGGACCAGAGTTCAATTCCTGGCTTACAGCCATCACAACCTTCATCTCCAGGGAGCCTGACACCCTCTCCTAGCCTCCATGGGCTTTGGCATGCAAACTTAGCACAGAGATTCACAGACACAAATAAAAAAATTAAAATTGACAAAGGAATTCAACAAAAGTCTAGGGTTTAATACCATTAGTAGACCCCTCTGCCATTGTAAAGTGTAAAATATATGTACACACCCACACACCCAAGGGTGAGGCAGTTGATAGAGTTGAGATATATATCCAGTTAAGATTCGCCAAAGGTGGCTCCAAGCACTGTGATTTTCATGGCGCCTCTGAGCTCTACATCAGAGCAAGCTACAGCGTGCACATGGAAAAATGGGCTGGCATACTTCAAAGGGTAAGTCTGCAGAACACAAGCAGCAGACCTACAAATGTGAAGTGTGATCTTGTATGAACAAAAGTCTTGTCAAGGCTCCCCAACTCAAGGTTAGATATGACGTTAGGCTTCCTCTCACCTCATCAAAACTCTAGAAAATTTGGGGGGGACCAAATGGGATTTCTCCTTCCAAATACCTGGGAGCACACTAATCTACAACTTCTCTTCTTCAGCCAAGGAAAACAGGACACCTTCTTGGAGTTGTTACAGAATCTGAAAGCGAAGCTTGTGATGCAGGCAGGCATCAAAACACATGTAGCCTAGAGCAGGAACTCAGTGGAAACCATGGCGGTAATTCACTGGGATCCCACCCACACTACTGGCACATTTGCATTATTACATCCCCAGACAGTGATTGCCCTTTGAGAGAAACACAGAGATGCAACATTTGCGCCCATCAGTCTCTGAGATTTTTCAGTCATGTTTGGCTGAAATGTATTTTGGAGATAATCGTATTTTATAAAGGTAGCAAAGAGGAGTGCCCTGTTTCTTTCCCCTGGTTTTCTCTAATGGCAAAATTTCCATAATTAAGGAAAACAGAACACCCAGTGGGGATCAGTTGTGTGCGTGTGCACGCGCGCGTGTGTGTGCATATATGATTTTGTTACTCATATAGATTACTGTAAGTATTATAGTGGGGATATACAGAACCATTCCATCTGAGAGTCCTAATGGATCAGAACTTGCATTCACCTATCCTCCCTGCTTCCTGCTTACCTGATCTTTTTTGTTTGTAGATTTAAAAAGCAAGGGAGGTGGGGTGGGAAAAAGAAAATTGATTTTTTTAAAAAAAAATTCAAAGCAGTGAACAGAAGAGATGTTTCAAAAGTTAAAAGCACACAGACTCTTGCAGAGAACCTGAGTTCAGTTCTCAGGACTCTTGCTGGGCAGTTTACAACTGCCTGTGACTTCAGACATGGCAGATGCAGCACAAATAATAAAAACTCAGAGACAGATATTGAGTGTGAATGGGAAATATATATGTCAATAAAGGTGCTGTTACTATGCATGCTGTTGAGTGTCAGTGTTGTGAAAGAGAGTGAGTGTGTGTTTGTGTACGTGTGTGTGTGTGTCTGTGTGTGTACACCACAGAGAGGTACATGAGTCCTCTTAGAGTTATATAAAAACCAGTACACAACACGGGCATCTCAGTGTCATCAGGGCTCTTTATATGGGCACTTTGCTATCCTGGCAGGAATTGTTCCAGAGCTGGTAATAGTTCACCCAGGGCACGGTGTATATCAGTGACGTGCAAATCAGGCTCTGTGGGAGAAGAAAGAAGATAGTTAGTTTTGGGGAAAATGGTTTTCAAAAGTGGAAGAGAAGGCTGCAGCTCCTCAGGCCCTGGGGAACCCAGAAAGGAACTGCTCCCCTGACACCCATGACAGGGGCCTCTGAAGCCCTCAGTCTAAGCAGGACCTAGGATTCCAGGAAGGGGTACCAACCCTCCCTCATTCCCCACCCCTGCACCTACGCCCTGGGACAGAAAGAGGCACTCATATCTACCACCTGTCTGATGAGGGGCCAGGCAACACAGAGAGGGACAAGAGAACTGAGAAGAAATGGGAACAGTCTTCAGTGACCCAGAGAATGGGAGCAAGATAATAGCAAAGGCCCTGGGGAGAAACAAACATCACTTGTGCCCTGGGGCTCCATGGGGAGAAGCAGAAACCTAGATCCAGGGCAGTGTCTACTTGGGTGGCCAGACTGCCCAAGCCAACAGCCTTCTTCCTTCTTGGGATGCTTCAAGAAGGGTAGCCTTAAGGCTGGGAATTTGCTGACCCTGACTCTCACACTTTGAGGTGTTCACTCCCCATCTTTGGCCTTGAGGTTTTCTCAGAGGATCCCTACAACTCACCTTTTTCAGCTTGCTGCTTTGCAGAGGACAGGAAGCATTGCTTGCCTCGCTTTTCTTGCATTTGGTCCTACCAATCTTGACGGTGACTAAATACTCCACTCCTGTGCTCAGCTGTGGAGAAGCAATTGCATCGCTCATTTCCACTCTTGAGCATCCTGTGTCTGACCCTCTCCAGGAGGGAGGGGCTAAGCATGACCCCTTTTCTCGGAACCCATCCCCCAAAACTCAGCTCCTTCTTCCCCTCCCATTGAGTAAGTCTCAGTGGCAACCAAGGTCCCAACCACAGCCCTGTGCTCTGGACTTTGCTGTGACAGCCACATAGTACTTCTTGTCTCCCACCCGTGGTCATGAAGAGACAAGCTGGGTTGCTTGGTGACCACCGCGGTCCTCATAATGCAACGAGGACCTACCTGGCTCTGTTTCTTCCAGTTTGGGTAGCCATTTTCTCCCTCCTTACTCTCCATCCCAGACGATCAGAAAGTAGACAATTTAACAACACATCTAAATATTGATTATAGAGATGGCTTAAAAGCACCTGTTGCTCTTGCAGACAACCAGAGTTTGGCTCCCAGAAACCACATGGCAGTTCACAACCACCTGCAACTCCAGTTTCTGGGGATCCAATGCCCTCCTCTGGTCTCTGCAAGCACATGTGGTGTGCTTATATGCATGTACTTGAAGACAGAAGACTCATACATGTAAAAATAGAAATCTTTACAAATGAGCTTGGGAGCCAAATTGATTTCAGACCTTTGCTCCCCATATATTAGCTCTGAAACCTTGAGAGAGTAGCGTAGCAGCCCCCATTTCTTCATTTGCAAGGTCCACACAAGCATTCAGTCTGCTTGTGGAGTCTGGGCAAAACAGGCACACTTCCACTAAGGCAGGAAAAAAAACCAATCTATTACATAGCTATTTCCTATTTCCTCCCAATTGAAACATTCCCTTTGGAGAGTAGAGGCTGCCTCAGAAGATTCAGGAATCAAATAAAACAAGGCTGTAAGACCACCTACCCAAGGTCATTACAGAGACTTTTAGGCTAGCTGAGCCACCTGCAGGAACTTGCAAGGTTCCATCATCATCCTGAGTTATCACTCTTGCTGAGATGGGCTTTTGGGGGGGATATAACTGCTTTTGAGCCATTCATGGTTTTTAAGTATCCTCCACAAACCCACTAGTAAACTAAGCTAGGCTTGATTGGAGTCATTTCTTTGGTCTGATGTTGGTGTCCTCTGCTTGCTCAAGTCGCCCCAGGAAAAGCCACACAATGATAGCTTAAGAGAATTCAAATATTTAAGTTGCTAAAGGTTTCTGCCAACTGTGTGGACCAGCTGTGATGTTGGGAGAGTCAAGGACAGCAGAAAGGTCATGTGCTGAAGTTCTTGCTTTATCTCCAGGAGCTTTCCACTCGAAATGATACCCACTGAATGATGCCCTGAATCTGTGCAAGATGATGAATCCAGGTAAGCCACAGACAAGACACAAGCCAGGGCCAGCTCCCATGTAGGCTTTGTCTTCTCTTTCTCGTAATCAAACCTAAGGCTTTGAAGACTAAGGAGGAGGAGGTTGGGAGGGCTTTTGGGGAAGAGAAGCCTCACACTTGAGTGAAACACCAAGGAAATTTGGCGATTATAGTCACAGGTCTGGATCAAGGATGCGTGTGTAGACTAGACAACTCTGTGTGTAGTAGGGTGTGAGCCCCCTGCTTCTTGCCCAAATGCCAGTGGTTCAGCCAAATGAGACAGTGTGAGTTTCTCTAGGGGAGATGCAGACAGAAAATTCACTTTAGCCCTGGTTGAAAGATTCCCATATAAAATCTAAGGCCAGGCGCAGGGCAATTGCCCATGGCTGCACCGAGAATACAATCTCAGTACTGGCCCAATTCCCTAGAGTGCAGCTGCTCCTCTGCTGTCACCAGGGGGCCATTCTACTTATGCACGGGGATGTTGTAGAACTGAGACAGCCCTCGCCGCACTGACCGGCTGTCAGCAAGTTGTATGTAGGAAAAAGAAAACGAAAACATTTGTGCACATTAAACTTCTTACTCCCGGGTAGTCTCTGCTGTTCACTTAGAATAGGAAGTCACGACAGCAGCTATTTCGACAAGTGCCGCTAGGTGGCAGCATTGAGCTAAACTTGTTCTGACCCAGATTGCAGATGAAGAGGCAATCCCGAAGAACTCTAGATAACACCTAACCAAGATCCCACAGCTGGGAGCGACTAAAAGTCAAAAGCAGGCCCAGCAGCCCATCGTGCTTGTCTACTATCCTCTCTTTGCGGTACCGAGACTTTCAAAGTCACATCTGGATATTAAGATGTCCAGAAACCTGTGTCCATGATCCTCCCCTCCTCCACAAGCCCACGCTGTCCAGTTATCGCTTTAAGTAACATCGAGTTTGCTTATAACATTTTTAAAAGACATTCTTGACCAGTTAATTGTTAATAGTAAAAGGTTGGTTTCACACATTAAATCTTAGTGTCTCAGCTAAAGACTAAAGGAAACGGATTCAAGTGAAAAAGACAAATGAGAACAGCGCCTCCTGGTGGTCATAGTGCATAATAGCCAGTGCATATTAGACCCTGGACTGTCTGCTAGGATTTAGGAACAGGGTTTAACACTAATATTAACCGCCCCACTCCCATGCCTTCCCCTCTTTCTATTGACTCCTGTTCCATCTGCCTTGCATTCTCTCTGACTAGTAATTTTTCCTCCTAGGGAATCATTTCCCCCCAAATCTAACTAAGATGCAGTATCATTTCTGACTAATTTACATATTTTGCTATCTGACCTTAAGGGAAAGGTGGACCAATAAGTTTTCCAACAATTTTTTTCTTCTATCATCTTTCAACTGATACAATTCACAAGGACCACATATGTAAAATTGTGTGTACAACAAAAGAGAAGTAACGACGGTGACACACAGGTGTAATCCTAGTACTCACATTCAGGAGGCTAAGGCAGGAGGCTGAGGGTAGAGAGATACAGGCCAGCCAGGGCTAAATACAGAGACTCTGCCTCAAAAGTGGTGGAACTATCTGACTGAAACTCTTTGCTCGTTCCCTGCTACTTCCCCTCAGCTGTCCCCAAAGACTTGTGATTACAAATGTCTCAAGCAGAGAATCCAGGCCGATTTGACAGTGCTGGACACTGAAAAGAAATACTGCCAGAAGAAAGTTACAGAGAGTGTTTAGGGCTTGTCCAGACAGAGCCGTAAAGAAAGCGAAACCAGCCCCATCCCTGCTGTCTGGGATGAAATACAATCCCCTCCATAGAACAATGGAGAACCTCTACAGCTCAATTTCTGGCCAAGACCAAGTGAGTTAGGTTGGCTCTGAACCTTAGGCCTACTTAGGTCATGTGACTGTGGTGACAGAGGGAGCTACTTAGGCCAGAAGCGTCAAGTGTTCCCATCACATACGACACGCCCCCAGAGAGTTATCAGTACTATTATCCAAAGAGCCCAGTCAGAATCCCCATATGTCTGAAAAGGCAAGATGGGGGTTGTGTTGCTGTCTGGGAAACCAAGGCACAAACCTGCATCTGACTTTGGATTAGCTTCTGAACTCGAAACAAGTAGGTGTCGTTGCTCGCATTGTTGTAGGACTGGATGAAGAAATGGAGCGTGGAGTTCATGTTTTTCTTGCTTGAGGCCTTCTCCTTGAAGCCTCCCCACCTTTGGATGTGATTCACCTTGGCCATTACAACTACGGCCACCAGCAAGAGCAGCAAGGGCATCCTCAGGCCTCTGGCCTCCATCTCCGTAGCTTTGGCAGGTACGTGTCTATACCGATGCCAGGGTAGGAGTGCGGCAACTGTCCCTCACTCTTCTGCAGCAGTCTCACCGGACAGGCTTTCCTGGGAGGCAGCTTCACCTGCACTTAAGCAAAGATTAAGACCCCAAGTTCACTCTTCCATGGTGTTAAGAACACTACCCATGGAAAGCTTCGCCAGGACCACACACCCGACTCCCCAAGAACAGACCTGTTCGGGGCTCTGCAATCAAAGCTGCTCTAGTGGCCAAAGGATACTGTGTGTGGGAGTGGGTGAGCGTTTATGGAGAAAGTCATGTTTGGACTGAGACGTGGGATTCAACCGCATGGGACCTGGAGTAATACACTCCAAGCATCTTACCAAGCCACCAGCATCTCCCGCGTTCCCTCTGTCACGTTCCTCTTCCTCACCTGCCTCTCACTGCAGCAGATTTCCCCCATCTGTTTCCCACTGTGCTGGCAGGTTCATGCACTGCCACTTGTCATCCTCTTGTGACCCAGCAGAGCTTTGTGAGGTAACCCCAAGCTCCCCACTGAAATCAGCCAAGAGCCTTACTCAGAAATTAGCCCTGCCTGGGGCGACCTGTATGTAGAAGCTCATTATAGAACCCCATATTTTGCTCCAGGGAACTTGCATTGGTTGTGCTACTTCCTCATATTCCTCAAGCATCTAGGCTTGAGATTTGTCAGTCCAGTTCCCACGAGAAAACAAGCAAGAAATAGATAGAAAAATACTGTGTTTTATCGCCGCAGCTGATAGGCTCTGCCGCCTGGGCTGAGCAGTCTGCAGGCAAGGGTGTTTCCTGCAGCTTTTACTTACCCCTTCTCCCATTCTTCCCTCCCTGTCACTGCTGCCTTCCCTTACATTGTAGGCCCCACACACAAATAAACTAGTCAGGCTTCTGCCTGGCCTTGGCTGAGGTTTCTTGGGCCTACACTAAACCGCTCATCAGCCTGGTCCAAAGGCTTTGCTCATGGTGTTCCACCTCTCCTGTGAATCCTGAAGTGGAGTGCCCTTGCTCCAGGATGAGATCAGTTAGCAAACGCCAAGAATGCTGGGCTTTTTCCAGTCTAGGCAACAGCAAAGACCACACCCTGACCAGGCAGCCCTACCTGCACATGAAGGCTTGTGAGTCCTTGTCTCGGTTAGGGGACTCTGGAAGGTGCAGGAGAGCTGCCGAGAAGGGCATGCAACTGAGGAAAAAACAATCCTTTCCATTGCTGCTTGGCCAGTTGCCTCATCTTCTTAGCTTCACTTTTCTTAACTGTAATTCTAGCATACAATCAGCAAAGTATCCCATAGGATGATGTTCTGGCTTTTCATTAATATGACTAGATACCTTGTGGCAACCAGAACACAGGCAAAAATAAAATAAAATAAGCTTCTTCTAGGGCATCCTCTCTCCCTAATATACTTCCTCAAATTAAACTTCACCTGATGGTTTTCATCACCTCCCAACCATGCCATTTAATTCTTAGTCCATGCATGGAATAATCCACTGAGGTTGCAGCCCTCAAAGCTTATCAGATGGCAACAAAGCTTTTACGCACGAGCTTTTGCTAGGTTACATTTCACAGCTCAAGTACTGTAGATGCTTGGGAAATTTAAATTACAAATTGCACAGATACTTCGCCTTTGTAGCTCAAGGGACTTCAGGGCTCACGTTGATGTCAGTTGAGTTCTGTTTCAATAAGAAAAGGAAGCCTGCACTGGGGGGTGTAAAGGTGGAACTGCTTCGGGGCTCCACACTGTTTCCTGGAAACGCCCGGGTCTTACCTCTAGCAGAGCAGTGGCCATCTGTCACCCGTGAGCTCTGTGTCTCTGAATTCAGTCAAGTATGAGTAGACAACTCCTAAAGAGCAATTCGGTCTGGACCAATCATGTCCCTGAAAAATAGAGACTAAAGAATATTTATATCGAGATTTGTGTTTTATTAGGTATTTTAAGAGATGAAGGGGCAATGAAAAGTATAAAGGGGCATGTGCAGGTCTTATGCAAACACTACGCTGTTTTGTAGGAAGGCTGGGACATCCACAGACTTTTGGTTTCTGCAGGAGCCCCTGAAAGCAATCCCCAAGGATACCAAGGGACATCTGGTTTTCACTGATACAGTGTCAGAACCTGGAGAACAGTCCCAATGTGCCACTATTTTAAAGAGCCTACACACATATCCCATGTCTTGATTTTCTTTTCCCACAGGGCAAATAGATAAAATAACTCCTTACAAACAAGAGGACCGGTATCATTTGGTTTCTTTTCTGAGCTTTTTTTTTTTTAAATGCATTTTTGTTTCCTGAATAGTCCTGCTCTGGGCAGGATACTGACCTGGATATAACACAGACAGGAAGCAAATCTATTTAAGACCCAACCGGTTGCCAGGCTCCCTTCCAAGATGGCCCTGAAACAAACAGTCAAAAGTCTGCCACCTGCTCAAGTACCCCAGGCTTGACTGTGGGGCAGCACCGCCCATGCACTCAGCAGCAGTTCCCAAGCATCCCTGGACCCTCACCTCTGGAGCTACCACAGACACCACAGACGAAGGTGGTTGACCTTGGCTGAGAATGCACTCAGCTCCTAAGAAGCAGTTCTGCAGCCGGCACACAGAATGTCAGGGGGACAAGGTGCTGGTGCTACAGATGGCTCAAGTTGGCATTGATCCAAAGTACATTTTCTCCTCTAGACGAAGAAATCTGAGAAGTAACAAGGCCAAGAAAGAGCATTCTCACAGTTACACAGTGCTTCCCTGAGAGGGAAGAGCTGGCTAAGAATATCAGGGAGGAGGAGCTGGTGGCAGCCTGTCCTCCTCAGCCAAACTTAAGTAGTTTTTAAAATTCAGATGTTTTCCAGGTTAAAAATAATTTGTCAACTCCTAAGCAGGCTTCTCCATCTAAAGAAACAATAGGTTTCCTCCTTTTCCTTTTTATTTTTAAAAATTTTAATTGATGTAATTATATGTTTGGGGTCTCACATGATATTTTGATACGTGTATATAATTTATCCTGACAAAATCAGAGTAAGTGCCATTTACCTCTGTGATGGCTGTTCTTGGTTGTCAACTCGACTAAATGATGTGTTTATCTAAGCTATGCTAGTATCAATAAAGTCTCGGGAGTCAATATCGGGGTGAAACCTGACAGATCAAAGACGTGGCAGAATGGGGACCGGTTGACCTTCTCTCCATACTTCCCAGATCAAAGAGAACCTGAAATCTCCAAGTCCCTCCCTATTCCTTCTTGTGTGTCTCCTCTATCCATATCCTGGCTTCTCAACGGCTAATATCAGTCAGCTAGTCTCTGACGTTGCCCTTTGATTCAAGATTAACATTTTAAACAACCTCAAGTTTCATTTCTCTGTGATGGAAATATTTAAGATTCAGAAAGCAGGGTTGAGGGCATAGTCCAGTAATACAACCCTTGTCTAGCTTGTGTGAGGCTCTGGGATCAATCCTAATTGCCCCCCGCCCCCCCCAAAAAAAACACAAAGAACACCTTGCATCAAAACTCAGAAAGCAGGCCAGGCAGTGGTGGTGCATGCCTTTAATCCTATCACTCAGGAGGCAGAAGTAGGCAAATCTCTGTGAGTTCAAGGCCAGCCTCTTCTACAAACTGAGTTCCGTGACTGTCAGAGCTAGTAAACAGAGAAACCCTTTCTTGAAAAATCAAAACAAAACAAATAAACAAAACCCCAGAGAGCAGAGCAGCTGAGCGGTCTCAGCAGATAAAGGCACCTACTGCCAAACTGAAGATCTGAGTTTGAGTCCTAGGACCCACGTGATGGAAGAACTAATTCACACAAATTGTCCTATGACCTCCCATAAATTAAAAAAAGCAATAAAAATAAAAAAAATAAAAATTTCAATCAGGTGTAGTGGTGCACATTTTTAATCAGTACTCTGGCAGTAGTGGAAGGCTACTCTCTAAATTAGAGATCAGTCTGGTCTACAGAGCAAGTTCCAGGACAGCTAGGACCACACAGAGAAACCCTGTCTCAAAAAACAAAGTGAAATAAATAAATGAAATGAAATAAAAAATAAAATCTTCAGAAGAAACTGTATTAAGTTAAATAACCCTGGCATGAGGAGGACACAAAGACTGCATGATCTCACCCAAATGCTAAACTCAGTGTAACACAGTAGAACTGAGGCCACAAGGGGCTGGGAAGCAGCGAAGGAAAGGGCAGTAGAGAAAATTTGATAACAGAAACCAAAATAGAGGTAAACAAAACAAATGACTAACGGATTTCAGGTGAAGAAAAGGAAACTTGTTATTCCCTTGGAATGTCAAGCCATTGTGGAGAACGGCATGGAAGGTTCAGAAATGTAGATCTAGCCTATGATCCTGCTATCCCATCCCTGGGTGAACCCAAAGAAAGTGAAATCAGTATATCGGGACAAGCCCAAGTTCACAAGCTGTAAGCATTTTCTGCCTGATCCAGCTCAAGTGTGCAGAATCAGCACAGGTGCCCATCAGGGGAAGAACTGATGTGTTAATTAGACTTTGTTGTGGGAACCAGCCATAAACAACAAAAAGATACCAAAGCATTAGCTTGGTTTCACAATTTCAGAGGGTTAAATCCATGGTAACCTGACCCTGTGAACTTGGACAGAACATCATAGCAGTGAGGATACACACAACTGCACATAATTAATAATAATAACAAGAAATATTAATAAAATGATATCCTACCACCTGCATCAAAACTACTAGAGGACATCACATTAGCTGAAATAAACCAACATAAAGGAGCAAATATCTTGTGGTCTTCTCTATGCATGTGTATTTTTAATTAAAAATCCTGGATCTGGAAAGATGGCTGAATGGTTACAAGCCACAGAACCTGAGTTGGATCCCCATTACCCAAGGAAAGTTGGAGGTGATGGCGCACACATGTAATTCTAATGTGTGTGGGGTGGAGGAGACGGGCAGATTCCAGGGACTCTACCCTGTCAGTGTTAGTAAAACAGCAATCTCCAGGTTCTGCGAAAGACTTTGTTTACAGACTAAGATGAAGAATGGTAGAGGAAGATGAGCTGGACTCTGCTTGTACACATACACGCACAGGCAAACACAACCCATACACAAGTGTAGACACCTCTACCCCCGCCCCACACACACACTAGTAACCGTGGGAAAGTGGGAAGTTGGATAGCAAACACCAAAACACCAGGAAATAGCACAGTGGCTCACAATAG